TTATAAAACTTTCTTATACAAGTATTTTGTAAAGGGGAGGACTAAAATGTTTATAAACACATTTTTTTTAGCTTTTCTTAAATTAAACCAGATATTAAGTAAAAGAATTTTAATAAATACGGAGGCATCCCAAATCTGTAGCCACAATTATTTCATAACATTACCACAAATCCAGCAGATAAATAGCATTAAAATTCGAGTAATATCAACAAGCAATTAAAAAAAGTCACCATTTTCATTGATTAAAATTCACAATACATATACCAATACATAATGAAACTACTATCACTAATACCCAGATTAGATTTCAGATTTATCAACTGAAATATCATCAAGTTTAGGGTTGCAAAAAATGATACATGATAAGATGAAGGGAGGAGTGAGAATGTGAGTGATTTGGGAGCAAAATCTTGAAGCAGCAGCACAGCACCCAAGAGCAGAGGAAATAGCAGCAACAAGCAGGAACCAGCACACGCAATAACAGATCAGCAACTTATCAGAAGCAAGGAATAATATAAGCAGAAGGGACTCAGCAGGAACTTATTTTTGTTTTTCAAAATTGCTCTCAGATTTACGTTTATCGTATCATCACTGAGCAATGGCTGTTTTAACTTAAAACTTGAAAAATGCTGCCAGCAAGTACATATACATTGAAGTCTCAACATAAATGACAAGGGCAACGATGATTCAAGAAAAATTAAAACAGCAAGCATAAGAAACAGCAGCAACAAAACAGCAGCAAGCATAAGAAACAAGCAGCAACAAAACAACAGCAGCAACAACTCAGCAGAGACAACAACCAAAAGGCAAAAGCACTACCAGCAGGCAGCAGCTCATAACAAGTTCAAGCAACTTCAAAATTATAGCTTTTGTTTTTTTAAAATTGCTCTCAGATTTACATCACTGAGCAATGGTTGTTTTAATAAAAACTTGAGAAATGCTGCCAGCAAGTACCAAAATACATTTAACTATTTAAGTCTCAACATAAATGACAAGGGCAACGATTTTAAAAGTCTTGAAAAATGCTGCCAGCAAGTCTGAAAATAAATGACAAGGGCAACGATTTTAAAAGTCTTGAAAAATGCTGCCAGCAAGTCTGAAAATAAATGACAAGGGCAATGATTTTTCAAGATAAAATAAACCACAATGAGACACAAATACCAGTTATGCAGATGAAGCACTTTCGGCTTCAATCTCTTTACCAATAAGGAGGACGTCTTCCTCAACATCCGCTTGATAACCACGGCACCAATTTTTGGTGGTAACCAATGCCTCAACATTCTTTGGCAAAAGTTTACCCCTATATTTGTTCAAAATACGACCACCCAAACTAAAAGAAGATTCAGAGGCCACCGATGTAATAGGAATGGCCAAAACATCCCTTGCCATATTAGCTAAAATAGGAAGAGAAGAAGCTTGAGATTCCCAATACTTGAGAACGTCAAAATGTTCCCCTTGAATTAATCGCGAACGAGGTCCATTCAAATATGCCTCAAGATCAGCCAGGGCATCTAGTTGAATCATCACATTCGTCATCAACCTCACGCAACTGAAACAGATTTTTTATTATAAAAGTTAAATTATGACATTACAAATAAAAATAGAAGACTACCATTGATATTGAGTATATTGTATAACATAAATACCGTGAACATATTTTGAGATCTCAACGTGCGATTAGAATTTTCAGATTGAGCTGTGTTTGAAGAGGCAGGATTTCTGCAGCTTGTATTAGATGCAGTAGATAAAATTATAAAGGTCATAAAAAGCTTCCTTAATCATCATAATCTTTTCGTCGCATGCCTCATCATTATACAACGAGTTCAACATATGTCTCACTCGAAACAACTTATAACGAGGATCAAGAGCAATAGCAACTGAAAGTATCAAACTATAATCCTCCCAATAACTCTCAAACTTCTCAAGCATAACTGTTGCCATGGGTGCAAGTTTAGGGTCTTTAAAGGCTTGAGTAATAGCGTACTCAATTTTTAAAACACTAACAAAATACAAATTAGAAGTGGGATATCGGTACCAGAAAATAACACAGTTATATCATTAAATGGCTGAAGGAAATCACAAATTTTTTGAATGGTATCCCATTCATCAGCATCAAGTCTATAAGAAATACCCAAAAACCTACTAGTATATAGAATCAAGGCATCCTTAGCTTCTAAGGCTTTTCGGAGCATTGTATAAGTGGCATTCCAAACGAGTCACAACATCGAGACATAACTTACCATTAAAAGCAGAGTCTAACTCAGACAAAGCATTCTCAAATTGAGTTTATCTAGAATCAGAAGCATCAATATATTTAACAACCTCACGCAATTTTTCAACACTTTCATGAACTTCTTTTAAACCTCTTTGAACAATAAGATTTAAAACATGAGCTGAACATCGAACATAAAAGAATTTCCCATTACAAGGAAGAGGAGAGCATTGCATTAATTCTTTTTTCAAATATTCAACCATAACATCCATAGAACGAGCATTATCATGAAAAAAGCCTTACCTTGAAGGTTCCACTCTTTAATCATTTAAACACAAACTTTCCAACCTCAACACCAGTATGGGGAGGGCCACAATATCTAAAATTTAAAATTTTAGACCTAAGAGACCAACTGTTATCAACATAATGAGCAGTCAAAGTGAGATAGCCTCGGTTAGTACATGCAGTCCACAAGTCACATGTAAAGCTAACTCTACCAGAAACATTAGCCAAAGACTCATGCAACAAGGATTTATATTTATCATGCTCACAATAACATACTTTAACATAGTTTTTCTACAAACATGCTGCACCTTAGGATTCAAATATGCATGAAGTTCCCTAAGATATTCATGCTCTACAATATTTAAAGGATATGCATGACAGATAATAGCTTTAGCAAACTTTTGTAAATAAGTTTTTTTGATCAAATTGGTGATTCGTTACCGGACTGGAGACCAATGCTTTTCCAAACATGCATTAATATGAGCTCTACAAGTTGAAGTACTCGCTTTACCAGGTGCTTTATATTCTTTGCCACACAAATTAACAATGAGCATAATCTACCTTTCATTACCTATCGTCTTTACAAAAAAAGTGTAATGCTTCCATATACCCGCGGTTCTTTGACGTTTATTAACAGAAGGATTGATAGTGCCGGTATTACTAGCATCATCAACCGGGAGTGGGACAGAGGCAGCTTGAGAGCTAACAGTATCAAAATTTGATTGCCTCTCATAGTCAAATTCATCATACTCGCAAGACATGATTGAAACAAAAAAAAAAAAACAGCATTTATAAGTACCAAATTAAGTGACAGATTCTACTAATAGTGAGCAATTAAGCATGCATTGTCTCATGTGACTGACATATGTGTACATTTAAGTACTAACTTTAAGCCAACTTTAAGCCAACTTTAAGCCAATCATACAAGTATACATTTTAAGTACATACAAGTATACTAACTTTAAGTACTAACTTTAAGCAGAATAAGATTAGCAGAATGGGGACTTATTGAAGAAATTGTGTAGCTTCTAGATAATACAATTAAGCACCTAAGAGAAAACAAATATTGTAGTTAATTAGAGAAAATAAGTTAACTCAATGCAAATGCACATCTGTAGTGCTACAATAAGTAAAATGAACCAAATTAAAGAAAACAGAAGTTGTTCCTTCAACAACAAACAACACCAACAACAAAAAATAAAATAAAATTAATCCACTCTCAAAACAGCTAGCATCAATGTAAATGCCAAAACTAATTCTCATTCAACAAACACATCACAACATTTACTGATTACTATGGCCACTCTTCATTAGCATCCTGCTCACAGCTGCCAAAATACCTCTCGTCCTTCTACCACCCCCCTAATTCCTTATTCAACAGAAATGTCAATATATTCGATAAGAATTCTCTAAAAGACTAGAAAGCTGCACTAGCTAAGTGAAACAAACGTGTCTACTCATTTGAGGTGAACCAGAGTAATCCTTCTCCCTTCAAACCAATTAATCACATGAATTATGTTCACACAGACAAAACCGTAACCCGTTAATCGCATAAAAATTGCAAACCAAATCAACCAACACAACACAACACAACACAACCATAATTCAATTCCCCTCCCTGTGAAAATCAAGATCTAGCACTATACATTGCAAAACAACCAACATAACACAACCATAATACAATACCAAATCTACAAAAAAAAAAAAAAAAAAAAATTTACGTATCAAAAAAAAAAAAAATCACAAAATATACATTGCAAAACAAAAAATGAACAAAAGAACTAGAACTTTCAAAAAAAAAAAATCAGAAATTATAATTTACAAAATAATAAATGAAAAAACAGAACTTAGAAAAAATAATAGGAACTTAGAATGAGAATGAAAAATACAAATACCTTATATCGTCCGTGAGTAGAGAATATGAAAGATCTACAAAAAAAAGAAAAAAAAAATTAAAATTAAAAAAAAAAAGGCAGATAAACTCATAAACCAGAATAAATAGAACTTATAAAAAACCAGAAAAATACCAGAAAAATTCGAAGTTTGAGAATATCCAGAAAAAAGATCTACAATAAACCAGAAAAACAGAACTTAGAACAAAAAATAGGAAATTAGAAAGTTTTCAACAAAAAAAAAAATCGGAACTTAGAATGAGAATGAAAAATACAAATACCTTATATTGCCGTGAGTAGAATATGAGTATATGACAGATCTTAAAAAAAAACAGAAATTAATCAATTCGGAATAAATGAACAAAAGAATTAGACCTTCCAAAAAAAAAATCTGAAATTTTAAGACTAAATGAAAATATCAGATGAGGAAATGAGAGTTTCATAGGCGTGAGAACTGAGAATTTGAGAAAGCTTGAGAGATTCAGATGAAGAGGGAGATAGCTAGGGTTAGGAGGTTAGGGGAGAGAGAGAGATGTTTGAGAATATCAGAGAGATGAGGAAATGACAAATGAGGCCTGTGTGCTAGTGAGTTTTCTCTAGGTTTAGTTTTAGGTTTTACTTCTTCTCCTAATCTAACCGTCCATTTTAATCTCAGCATCTCACTGTTCATTTTTTTTTTGGTAGTAATAAAGTAATAAAGGTCTGGTTCCAGAATGTTCATGCAACATGCCAGCTTTATCAACGGTCTTATTTTTTTTTCGAGACTTTTTCCTTTTTTTATTAAAATATATTAATATATTATTATTATTATTTTTTTTTGAAAACTATTATTAATTATTTTATTATTTTGAGGTTACTATAATTATTATTATTATTATTATTATTATTATTATTATTATTTTGAGGTTATTATTATTATTATTATTATTATTATTAATAGTATTATTATTGTTAGAATGTTAATATAATTTTATGTTAATATTCTTATTATAAGTATTATTATTATTATTATTAATATTATTATCATTATTATTATTATTAATTATTATTATTATTATTAATATTACAATATTACTTATAAATTGTAAGAAACACAAATGAAACAAAATTGAAATTAATTCAATATGACATAATTAATGACTTAATGACGTTAATGTACATCAATATCTAACATCTCTATGTATAAGTGTATAACTATATATATGAATATATCAGTGAGTCTGTGACTTTAAATATAATAAAATAATAACTTAATAAGTAATAAACTAATAACTAATAAGAGTAAGACTAATAAAGTAATAAGTAATAACTAATAAGTAATAAGTAGTAACTAATAAAATAATGAAATCTAACTGTTGTTTTTCATGGGCATTCAATCTAACCGTTGTATATTTGACCATTTGACTATTTGACTATCTGTACATTAGTATTGCTCTTGCATAATGATTTCATCACCACTTTAGTGATTTCGTCATTTCGTCCATTTAACTTATCAAGTTGTTTGAATTAGTAATCTAAACAAAGTACCAAACTAAATAAATAATTCATTTAATCTCGTGTAAGTGTGTAACTTATAAATTATAAGAAATGCAAATGTTTGGAAATTGAAATTGATACAATACGATATTGACATATTGTTAATGTATATGTCTTATGTATATACTTATAAATTGTAAGAAACACAAATGAAACAAAATTGAATGAATTCAATATGACATAGCTAATGACTTAATGTACATCAATATCTAACATCTCTATGTATAACTATATATATGAATATATCTGTGAGTTTGTGACTTTAAATGTAATAAACTAATAACTTAATAAGTAATAAGAGTATAAGAATAAGTCTAATAAAGTAATAAGTAATAACTAATAAAGTAATGAGTAGTAACTAATAAAGTAATGAAATCTAACTGTTTTTTTTCATGGGCATTCAATCTAACCGTTGATTATTTGACTAATTGTACATTAGTATTGCATAATGATTTCATCACCACTTTAGTCATTATGTCATTTCGTCCATTTAACTTATCAAGTTGTTTGAGTTAGTAATCTAAATAAAGTACCAAACTAAATAAATAATCCATTTAATCTCGTGTAAGTGTGTAACTTATAAATTATAAGATATGCAAATGTTTGGAAATTGAAATTGATTCAATACGATATTGTTAATGTATATGTATTATGTATATCATATGGTAGTAATGTATGAATGTACGATTGGTATCATAGTATCATTGGCTCATTGCCTCATTGAATCATTGGTATGTAAGTAATTAAGTATGTAACTATGTAACTATGTACGTATAATCGATAAACATATATGTTAAAACTTAAAAATTTAAAACATTTGTTGATCGATCTAATTGAGTACTTGTACTTCCTTAATTATCGATTTATTGTATTCTAAGTATCAACTCATTAAATCATGGTCATGACGCGATCTTTAAAACAATCATGATTCATGAATTCATGACCCAAACCGCTTATAAACCGAACCGGCATGATCTGAACCGTTTATAAACCGAACCGACATTGGACTGGGTAAACCCGCCCCTAAACCGGCCCATTTCAAACCGAACCGACATGATCCGTACCGTTTATAAACCGAACCAACAGTGACCAGGGTAAACCCGCCCCTAAACCGACCCGTTTCAAACCAAACCGGCATGATCCAAACTGTTTGTAAACCGAACCGTCATCAACCTGGGTAAACCCGCCCCCTAAACCGATCCGTTTCAAACTGAACCGGGGTGATCCGAATTGTTTATAAACCGACCCGCTTATGACCCAAACCGAATTTAAACCGTAAAGAAATAAACCGAAACCGAACCGACCCGTGACTAACCGAAACCGAACTGAACCGACCCGTCAGCTAAATCAAATCGTTTCAACCCGAACCGCTCCAAACCAAAACCGACTCACACCGAGGTCAAATCGAACCGCCAAACCGAAGTCCCACCCCTAGTCACACATCATGTGTTACCCGCATCACATGACACTTAGGACTATAAGGCCTTGTTTAGTTCAACTTATTTTTACTTATTTCAAAAAAAATAAGATTAGATCAGATTAGAAAAAATAAGTTTAGATAAGATTATCGTTTTATGTGCAATTTTTTATCGCTACATATCTTTAATTTCATAATCAAAAAATTATGAAAATTACATATTAATAAAATATACATTATTACGAATCTAATAAGACCCCACTTGATATATTTTTTCATTAAAAATTATCGTACACTTAAAGTCAAAGTTTAGTCAAATCAAATAATCAGATCAGATCAGATCAGACCAGATCATATAAATTCAAATAAGTAAAAAAATAAGGTAAACTAAGCAAGCCCCTAGGTCGAAGTCACCACTCACCCATTAGGGCCATTACAACCCATTTTCCACTTTTTCCAATTAAATCATGTAGCAGAGGTATGCTCGTTCAAATAATTTCAATTCATAAATAATTCATTAAATTATGTTTAATTTTGAAAAAAACACATTACTTTCGTTGGGAGTAAAAGGCCATGTTTGGTAAATAACTTTTTAGCGGCTTTTTGATTATTTTTTGGCTTTTGACTTTTTATGTGGTCAAACAGCCAAAAAAAGTGTTTGGTAATTGACTTTTTATTTAGCAAAAAAAATGGCTTTTATACCAAAATGAAAAAGTTGCTATGAGTAGTTTTTTTTATTGACTTTTGGCTTGTTGGCCCATAAATTATCTAATAAACAACCAACCACTAACTAAAGTTACCACACACTTTTTTAAGCAGCTAGCTTTAAACAGCCAATTTTAAAAGCCATTATAAACAGCTAGTCAAATAAGCCAAGTGCACCAGCTAATCGCCAACAACTAACAGCCATTTGCCAAATAAGACCTGACTTTTATATTATATTTTACTTGCATTTATTAATTATTTAACTATTTTTTGAGTTTGGACAGTGTCTTGAATTATCATATGAATAATACTCAATATTATTATACAAGTCTTATATGTAAAGATCATGATTGAGTATCACTTTTATTAATTTATATTATTTTCTTGTATTAACCTTTTTTTTTTTTTTTTTTTTTTTAATATGTATGTAATATCACATGACTCAATCATCAAGTCTCTACTAAACCTTGAGGTTATGGATTCAAAGCTAATCAGCTCCACGTGACATATAAACTTGCTTAGATAATAAATTAACATAATTTCATAAATGTTGATTTAGATTAGACGATGCCCACGATCGTTGCATGCAATATAATATACTAAGTACATAAGAAGATAGACACAACAATTACAAATAAATAAGCTAATAACACGAACTAACTCCAAGTGTCCCAAATAAGAGTGCAAAATGGCCTTAATCCTTGAAGCCACCTAAACAATACCATCACACTCCTCACACCATCTTCTTCTACATGCACTAACACACGTGTACGCAACCTTAACAATCTTCCCACTTAATTAATAAACTAAAAACCAAATTCACCTTTCTAAAACTCCTTCACCTCTTCAACAAAACGCTCAAGATCAAAAAACGCTAAAACAAATCCGCTAAAAATCCAAAAAAGCTTAAGAAATGGCTTCAACAGTGGGTAGAGAAGGCAAAACAGCTGGTGAAGGGATGACAATGAAAGAGCATGTAATTGAAAAAGGGGCTGAAATGATGCAATCCATGAAACCTATCAAGCAATTTAGTCAACATGTTTGTACCTTTGCTCTTTATAGCCAAGATATGAATCGTCAAATCGAGACTCACCACTTCGTACACCGCCTCAACGAGGATTTTTGTCAGTGTGCGGTGTATGACACCGATAATCGCGATGGCCGGCTTATCGGTGTCGAGTATATTATCTCCGATCGGATTTTCGAGGCGCTTCCTTTAGAGGAGCAGAAGCTTTGGCACTCTCATTTCTTTGAGGTTTTGTACTCATCTCTTTTACCTTTGGATTTTGCGTGCATGAGTTTTGTCTTTTTTTTGTAACAGTTTGACTTTTACGGTTGTCAATGTATGAGATTTAGTTGGAGAACTAAAGACTGAAGTGACAAAACTAGTTTATGTATCTGTGGCAGATTAAATCGGGGCTTTGGGTGAATCCTCGGGTTCCGGAAGCAGTGGCTAAGCCGGAACTAGACAAGTTGGCTAAGACATATGGGAAGTTTTGGTGTACGTGGCAAACCGATCGAGGTAACAATCATTAATGTCAAATAACTCATTTAAAATCTTTGTTTTAATTCAATACACTATGCATGCATATGTATGATAATTTTATGGGGTTTAACTTTGTATATATCTATTCAATGCACTATGCATGCATATGTATTTATAAAGTTATTGCTCACTATTGTTCCAATTAGATCAAGACTATCTAGATTAGAAATTTAGAATAGATCAAAATTAAATACTTGTTTTTATAAAAAGGAAAATGATAAACATATGTATAAGATGTTAAAAAAGAAAATATTGAAAATAAAGTAAGATTAATTATTATACCAATCTGCACCTAATTTTGTTAGGAATTTCAAACTTAATTTCATTTTAGGAATTCCAAACTTAATTTCATTTTAGGAAGTATATATTTAATGCTTATATATAGCCTTAAGGGCTACATATATCATTACCCTTATAAAAGAACTTTTAAAGTGCGTTCAAGATTTAATTACGCATTTTTCATAACATGCATGTCTATGGTGTATTCTCATTACATTCATGCATATGGTGATGTGTATTGCATGGGTTTGGTGGACCAATTAATAGTGCAAAAAATCATTGCGACAATTGAAAGGTGATTATTGTTAATGTATAGGTGATCTCCTACCGATTGGGGAACCATCTCTAATGACCTCTCCTCTAGGAGAGGTTGCTGGGAATGTGAAGGCGCCTCTTTTACAGCAAAGGGACGAAAAATACGGCATATCAAGCACCAAAATAAGTGATTCAAGGGTGGATATTACTGGCCCTGCTCTTATAAACCCTAATGCAGACTACTGGATTAAGCATGGAAAGGGATTTGCTATCGATATCGTCACTGCTGAGATGAAGAAAATCACCCCATTGCCATAGTAGTGCGAAATTAGATAAAGTACGTACATGATGTACTGCAGTACTTGCTATGTATAATCAATAAAGGAAAATGGCCGTACCATCCGATCCATACATAAAGATGGCTTTTTAAGGTTGCACTAGTACTATGTAAGGTCAGGTTAGGTTAGGTTATGCGTTATGCATATGATCCATAAAGAAAGATGGCGTTGTAATAATGTTACACATGGTTATAAGGTTACGCATGTATGTGTTTTTGTTGATCACAAATATAATGTAAGTAGGGTTAGTTTTGCTATTTTGAATTTTGTTTTTTTGAATTTTGTTTTTATAAATATCTATGTTAAGAACTCTATATATAGTTCTTAAATTTATATTAAATTTGGTTAAATTTGTGACCTTTATAAAGGAAGTACTTTTGTAAATATTAGGAAAATTTGTGAATTGCAGCCATTTAAATTTTGTATTTTGTAATTGTAGCCATTTAAAAAATAAATTGCAAATTGCAGCCTGATAGTTACAAATTGTAAATTGCAATCCAATTTAATTTTTTTATTGGTTTGTTTGTTGAAAAATGTTTGGTTAAGGTATTAGCGGTCATTTTAGGCTTTAAGGAACCAAATTGAGTTTGGAATTGGCAAAAAATTAACGTAAGTGCCTCATTTTTAAAGCAAAAATAAGTTGCACACAAATCGATACATTTTTGTCACGCAAGACGAGGCACTTAAGTTATTTTTTTATTATTTCCGAGCTCAATTCGGTTCCTTAAGGGCTAAAATGGCCCCTAAAACCTTAATCGAATATTTTTCGACACGCAATCCGATGAAAAAGTTGATTGGGTTGCAATTTATAAGAATTTTTTTTAAATACAAACTTTAAATGGCTGTAATTGGTAAATTTTCCTAAATATTACTCTCTAGGCTCCATTCACTTCATCTTATTTTTGCTGAACTGAAATTATTTTTACTGAACTGAAATTATTTTTGTTGAATTGAAATTATTTTTTTTATGGATTTTCTGTTATATTTCTTCTTTAAAATTATTGATTTTTACTGAACTGAAATTTTTTTTACTAATCTGAACTTATTTTTACTAAACTAAACTTATTTTTGCCGAACTGAAATTATTTTTGCTGAACTGAAATTATTTTTACTGAATATTGTTTTTTAAGGTGAAGTGAATAAGGCCTCAATCTATTTCAGAATAGCTGATACAGTTAAATTTTGAAATACATATTGATGTACTAGTTTTCTAATTTTTTTAATTTATTTTTTACATAAGTAATGTTAATAAAAATTATTAAAAAGTTATAATAAAAAGTTGTAGAACTTTAGTGTTCAAAAATATCCGATTCGGAAATTCGATGATCCGAAATTTCGGATATTTGATCTGATTTTAAGATTTCGGATATTTCGGATTGGATATCTGAAAAAAAATTCGGGTTTCGGATCAGATATAGATCGAATTATGTCCGAAAATTTTAACTACCCGATGCGAAAATCCGATCCTAAAATTGGAATATTTGAAAATTTTGAATCGGATTCGGATCGCAATTTCTCCGATCTGAAAATTTTTGATATCTGAATTTTTCAGATCAGATCAGATCGGATATCCAAAAGTGAACAACCCTAATACGAACTATTGTATGAAGTAACTTAGAAAGTTAAGGTATCGATTCAAGTTGAGTACTACACCCATAATACAGTATGTAACAAACTTGAGCCATAAAATCTAAATTAAAAATTACCCTAATCATACCTAACTTAGCATCTAAAGATGTTATTGACAATTTTTTTGGCCATAACAACACATTAATATCGAGGACCATTAGAAATTTAGAATACAGTTAGAATTGAACCTTGCACAACAATAATAAGTTAATAACAATAATACGTTAGTACGAACTACTGTACAAAGTAACTTAGAAGGTTAGATGTCAATTCAAGTCGTGTACTATGTCCACAATACGTAGTATAACACAAACTTGAGCCGTAAAATCTCAATTAAAATTTTACCCTAATCTAACACAACTTTGAATCTAAGGATATTATTGACAATTTTTTGGCCATAACAACACATTAAAATCGAGGACCACTAGAATACAATTAGAATTGTGACGTCCAGGTCGTATGTCTATATAAATAATATAGTAATAGCAACATCTTATGAAGCCATAAAAAAAAAAAAAAAAAAAAATAAAAAAAATAAATAACATTACGAGTAGTATTGATTTTTCTTCTTTGAACCACAAAAATATTCATCAAAATAATTACTCATAAAATGAGTAGCATCAAAGTGAAGAAATCAACAATGGTACGTCCAGCTGAGGAGACCCCAAATAAAAGGTAGTCTTTGGCTATCAAAATTAGACATGAGTGTACGCGCACCGTTCTCACATACTAATGTTCTCTACCTCTGTTCTCCTAATAATAATACATCTTCTAAATTTTTTGATACCAATAATTTGGAGGAGGCTCTTAGTAAAGCCTTGGTTCCATTCTATCCAATGGCAGGGAGGTTAAAGTATAACGATGAAAATAAAAGGTACGAGATCGATTGCGAACTGCGAAGGGGGCCTTGTTTATCGAGGCAGAATCAACTAAAGCTCTTGCCGATTATGGGGACTACTTGAGGCCAGATTCTCAACTTAGGAAGCTGGTGTTCCCTACGTGCGACTACTCGGGAGGGCTCTCATCGTTCCCTCTACTATTAGTGCAACTCACCCGTTTCAAATGCGGGAGTCTATGCCTTGGCTTTGCACAACATAACCATGTAGCCGATGGAGCTTCCCATTTACACTTCAACAACTCATGGGCAAGACTAGCCAAGGGCCTTGATCTTAGTGTTTATCCTGTTCATGATGGGACTACCTACCTTGCGCCTTGTAACCCCACCCAAGTTAAGTTTCGACACTTGGTGTATGAGCCAACCTTGTCATCCTTAATCCCAAAGAGTTTGTCAGGTGATTATATGAAGTATTTGTTACCCCTTTTAATTACATGCGCGCACACACATATACACATTTTTTTAGTGTTATATAAGTAAAGGGGGAGGCTGTGGTGTCTGCCTTAAAAGACCACAAATCCCTCTTCCTTTAAAGTTGAAATAAAGATAATTTAAAAAAAAAAAACCCTAAAGTCAATCAATCAGCAAATAATAAAAGAATGATTAATCAATCAACAACGAAAATAATTAATTAATCAGCAAAAAATTAAATAAAATAAAAATCCATTACTCAGATTAAGTCCAATTATAAATAAATTACATTGTTTATTTTATGTCTATACAATCAATCAAACAATACATAATTCTAAATTTTCATTAAATCAATTAATTTATACAATCTAAAATAATTATTGATAAATTTGATACATATTGTAATCCGCATTAGTATTGATATTCATACGTTGGCGAGAAAATATTATCAATCAAAATCATATCATCTACATTGTTAGTCCGGGGTACCAAACTCAACTACTACCTCCGGTTTTTATTAGTTGCAATGATTGCAACTAATAAAAACCGGATCGGAGATAGTATATAACTTTAACCCTTCATATTCCATCTATATCATTGGTTATACCCAACTCTTAAAAAATATTGATAACGCATGTATAAAGGTAAACCATACAAGCCTTAAAAAGATTATCTCTTAAAAATCACTTTCTAACGTTCGATGATAATTGATACTTCCTAAAAGTTAACATTGAGCTACAAAATCGATTGAAATTAAAGTACCCTAAATTTGTACGTTATTTTATTTAGTGAAATTATTGTACACATAAATCATTCTTTTACTGATAGTTTGCACTTCGCTTTTCTTTTCTTTGCATAACATCTTCTATCAGGCGAGACGGAGCCAACAACGGAATGTATCTTAACTCTTACTAAAGACCAAATTCACACCATAAAACTACAAGCAACATCACAAGAGGTGGTATTAGATTACAAGCTATGTACATATGAGGTGCAAGCTGGGCACGTGTGGCACACTGCATGCATCGCACGTGGATTAACTAATGATCAAACCGTCAAACTTTACATACCTGTCGATGTACGGTCAAGATTGAAGGATATGAAACTGCCACAAGGTTATTGTGGTAACATCCTGTTTTACGCAACTTGTGAAGAAAAGGCAAGATGTAACGCGTAGACCGCTGTGGTATGCTGCGAGTAAGATTCATGAGGCAATTAAAAAATTAGGTGATATCGAGACTCGAGTATATGAAATCAGCCGTTGATTACGTGGAATCGCATCCAGATCTAACGGCTATTGTTCGTGGACCACTTACGTGTACTTGTCCAAACCTCACAATATATTCTTGGGCTAGGTTGTCTTGTTATGAAGCTGATTTTGGATGGGGTGGCCCTATATTTACAGGCATTAATAGAATCAAATTTGAGGGGCAAACTTACATTACAGTATTACACCAAGCTCAAATGGGGATGGTAGTTTTTTAGTGGCCATTAAGCTTTTTAATTCTCATATGACACTTTTCAAAGAGTAACTCTATAACTTCTAAATTACTCACCCTGTCAACTTAGTGTGCTCGTTATTCTAGTTGCCTACTTTTTTTTTTATACAATAAGATAAGAAGGGATCCCCCTCCTCTCACAGGAGGGGATGTGTGAGGAGTCGAACCAAGGTCACACCTGGGGGAGATGGAGGGACTAACCATCCCTCCACTCCTCACTCCTCTTATAGTTGCCTACTTGCCTTGTCACAATAATGTATCTTATTGGTATTCAAGTTCAATCTATGTATGATAAGATTAATAGCTATTTTTTGATGTATATGTTATGGTAAATTTTTGTGAGAATGCCAGGCATTGGTGAAATCAGAAGGATGGATTACAAATGGTTTTGAGTAATTCATTTGTGGCATTAGGCTATCTAACATAATTCTTCGTAATAAACAACTCATTCCGTCTGCTTCTTCTTCTTCTTTTAGTCAGCTTCGATCTGATAAACTTTGTTATGTACGAAGTATTTTGTAGTACATTACTTCGTATTTTAACTATGATTTTTTCCTTGTTTTTTCTCTTATAGTATATTCATACGATTGAAACTTTGGATTTATGTATCTTTCATTATCAAATAAATACTTCGTGTTTCGGTACGAAAATAATGGGACCTTCGGCAGACCCAATTTAGATGGGAAAGTCGAGTATTGGTCCAAAGAATGTTGGAGCCGAGGATTTCCTGCACGGCAAAGAACACGTAAACTAGCCTCGGGGGTGGTTGCCGAGGAAAACCCCTCCGATGCTAAAATCAGTTCAATGAAGAGAGAATGCTATGCAAGAGTTTTTGTGCGTGAGGCTTTGTTTGCATGAATGTAAAATGATGTAATTGATGGCTTTTATACCTTGATTCAATTAGGGAGAATTGGGCCCTTGAAGCCAAGTGGATTGACCACGTTGACTGGGCTTTTGTTGACCTTAGCATGCCTTTGGAGAGTTGAACCTTGCTTTAAGCTTGAGTTGAGTTATTTGGACTAGGCCCAATTAGGTTGACTGAATTGGACCCAAACAACTTGCCCCCCAAACCCGATTCGGCTGAAAGACGGGTTGAGTTTGAATTGCGAATTTGGAAAGACAAATAACGGCAACTTATGCTTTGAAGGAATCTAGGTAGTTAATGATGTTAACTGCCATTTAAGGAGATTAATTAGGGAAGATTGAGGGTTTAATGGGTAGTTAACTTGGGGCGTGTGCTAATACGTGATTAATTTGGAATTCGTGGGGTTTTTGGCGGTTTAAGGCTCTTGAAATTCTTGATTTCTGAAATCCTCATATAAAAAGCGCCCTCTCCACTTTCCTTAATCATTTTCTCACAAACACGCGAATTTCCCCAAAGTTTCCTGAACTCATTTGCGAACCCTAACTTTTCTTTGCCCTTAATCTCTGCAATCCCATTTCCGAAGCTTGAATTGTCTGCTGCAACTCTGAAGATCGGCGAATTCCGAATCTTACGAAGGTAATTTTTCTCAGAATTTCCCTGGATTTCTCTTGTTTTGAGCAGCGTACCCTTTTTCTTTCTTAGTACACATTTTCGAAAAAATGGTTAGAGGTAAAACTGAGAGAGAGAGTTCCCCAAATGAAGAAGAGAACCTTCAAATGACCATCCTAGGGACTCGGCGCGGCCAGCCCTTGCAGCGAATGCCCCCCCCTTAGTCACATCCATGCCTCTTCGATTCCGAGGAGAGAGGACCCAATGTCCTCCCTTGAACCTCCTGTTGTTGCGGTCCCCCTGAACTCAAGGCCGTTCAGGGGCTGGGAAGAGGCTACAACCTCGTCCACCGGCGCAAGGCATGGGCCTCGGCGATTGCCTGAGGGCGCCGAGGAATGGCGAAATCCCGCTGAGAATGTAGGATTAATGAGTGCTGCCCCCTACGACTGGTGGGTCAAAGGGGATGCCCTTCACCATTTTGCCGAGCAAATTGAGATCTTCTACGGAATTATGGAAGAAGATGGGTACTGGTGCTAGATGCCAGTAGCCGAAGACAGGATTCATAGGCCTCCCCTTGGCTATCTGGGTGTTTATACCAGGCAGCTGCAATTTGGTCAGAGATTTCCCCTCCACCCATTCATTTTCCAGGTGCTGAATGGATACAATGTTTCCTTGTGCCAGCTAACCCCAGTCAGCATCCGAAGGGTTATGACTTATTTGTGGGTGTGCCTTTTTTATGGGTACTTGCCGAGCCTTCAAGTTTTTAGAAAGGTGCACAAGCTAGTGCCGAACCAGCAGTCTAACGAGCACCATGGACCTAGGTGGTGGAGGATTGAGACCCAAAGGGGGTACTTGACCACTTGGCCGAATGACACTTCTGACAAGGAGTGGAGAGGCCAGTGGATCTGGGTGAGGGCTCCTGCTGAGGAGGATCACCTGAATTATTATGGGGGGCCAAGGCATCTGAGAAGGCCTGACCCCAAAATGAGTATCCTCGGCCCCGATGATTTCTCTGCCGAGGAGAGGGAGCTGCTGAGGCTTTTTAAGAGGGACTCTACAACAAGGGGGCCAGCCGAACGAATGGAATGCCTGAGACCTGGCTCCCCTGTTATCATAATATCTTCAAAGAGAAGATATTAGCTACTGTCGGCCTCAGCCGAAAGTTTTAAGATGGTGAGAACCTCGGCTGGGGCCAAAGACTTTATTTAGCCTGTTTTTTCTTTTGTTAATGCTTTTCCAGTTCATGCAGAATAACCTTGTCTTTTTGGTTTTTTAGTGCTGCACGAAGGAAATTGCGGCTTGGAGTACAACCGATTGGGGATTAACGCAGCTCGGCAAGTTACGAGGCGTGATCCTATCATCATCTCTCCAGCTGCTAGGGCCCCTGTGCTGCGCCCTTCTTAGTTGGAAATTGTGACGCCGGCTGAGTACTCAGCCCAAAAACCGTGGTACCTCAAGAGGGATCCCTTTTTTCTGTTGGGTCCCAGGAACACGTGATTGCAGTTGCAGCCGCTGCTAGAGCTGGGGTTAGTGTTGGTAATTCCGAGCCCAATACCGAGCCATCAACGCCTGTTGCTAGGCCGAACTTGCTCACGGCTTCAGACGAGGGGCTGCTAGGAGGCTTGGTAAGCTTTTCTGAACACTCTTGCGTTTTTCTGTTCATACTTAGAGTATTTCATCTGATCCTTCATCTTGTGAAGTAGTTCCGAAATTTTCTAAGTGTCGAACCTCGGCTATACGAGGGTTTCCCTTATTTCTATTTGATATTCTTGCTGTTGTTGTTGTTGTTTTATTTTTTTTATTTTATTTATTTGCTGATATCCTCCATGCCCCCCTTTTTTCTCTTCAGCTGTAGTCAGACGACGAAGAAGAGAATAAGAGTGCCGAGAAATCTTCTTCCTCTTCAGACGAATCTTCTGAGAAGGAGATGGCTCCGAGAAGGAGATTGAGGAGGGCTATTGTCGGCCCGGGTGAGTTCCCGGTGTCCGAGCCAGAAAATAAAAGACTTCCTCCAGCCGAGGAAATCAAAGAGAAGACTTTCTCTCCCCCTGAGCATCAGGAGGAGGAAGTGCAACAAAGGACTCCTCTAGTCCTAACAAGGTCTCCTCGACATGAAGCCGAGGATTTTACAAAAGCTGTTCAAAGAGAAGCTGATGCCCTCATATAGTAGCAATCTGAGGACGACGATCTGCAAATTCTGTTGGGGAGACCTGACCATTTGAAGGAGGTTGATGAGGCAATGGATGGACCCAGAGCTTCTAATATGCCATCGTTTGCTGGGCATTCCTTCAAAACCTTCCAGTCTGGGGAAATGGGGTTTGAGAATGCCCCCCTTATCATTGTCCCTGAAGCTGTCAGGGAGGGTCTGCAGCTCCATAGAGGTCCAGCACTTGACTTCTTTGGCGACTTCTCTAGCATTTCTGAGCTGGAGAGAGCTGAGAGATGGTCCATCCGCGCTGCTGTCGGGGTGTCCGAGCCTCTTGTGAGGGTGCCTGACCCCATTGTTGAGAACAAGAAGTTGTTGATGCAGGTAACCCTTGCATCTCTGTTTCTTCTCTCTTATTTTTTTTTAATTTTTTTTTATGCAACCTCTTTTCCTCGGCTGACACATGCGTTTATGATATTTGCCAGGCTGTGCACAACAATGTATTAGCGGCTGGCCTTAATGAGGAATTGAGGCATAAAGCCGAGGAAGCTGAGGCCCGAGCTCGGTTATATGAGTTGAAATGCAAAAGCGCAGAAGACGAGTCTTCTGTCAGCATCTCTCGGATGAGGGAGATGGAGGCCCAGCTCCTTGGTCTTTACCGAGATGTATTCCCATGGATCGAGGAGGGCCATGCCCTGATCGAGGAATATGATGCCGTTGATATTCCGAGATTTAGGGCTCGGATTGAGGGAAAGCTGAAGCAAGAGGCGGAGGCCCGACAATCTATGGCTGAGGAATTGGAAGATGAGAAAGCTCATCATGAGGCTGAGGCTTAGCTGCTCGTCATCCATCTGGACACAAAGGACTCAGACTTGACTGCTATGAGGTTTGAGCTGCAAGAGTTGAAGAGCCAGCTGGCTGCGCAGCTTGAGGAGACTACTAAGGCCAAGGCAGAGGCTGAGAAAGCTAAGGCAGAGCTCTCAGCTGCCAATGACCTGCTCCAAGTCCGCATCTATACTCGGGCTCAGTATGAGGAGGGTTTCGACAACGATTTCAACATTGCTCGGCGGCTGGCCTTCCATACCTGCCCGGAAATCAACTGGGATCAGGTTGAGGAGTGGGCAGCCGTCCCAAACCATCCGAATATCAGAGTTGCCCATCCAGCTGAGGATGCGTACTTGGCTCGTCTTGAAGCTGATGCCGAGGAAGATGAAGCTGAGACTTTCAAGGCTCCAATCTCAGGTCCAGCGAACGCCGAAGCATAGGGACTCGGGCAGTTGTCTGCAAAATCTTGCGGGTCAACATGCTCTTAATTGGACCAACGCCGCAACTGCATTTTTCTTTTGCCTATCTTTTGCTTCAGCTAGCCTTGCTTGTACAACTTCTTGTTTGTTTAAGTACATTTCCCACGGCAGCTGTGTTTTCCGCTTGTGGGCGGCTGCCGATTTTTATGACTTTTCTGATTTCAATTACTATAACTCTCAACTTTTAACATTTATGAATTTCCAGTTTGCTTGCCTCATTGCTTGCCTTATTATTCTTTGCACTTTAGCTGTTTTTCTAAATTTTCTTCGAAATTTTGCTAAGTATAGAATTTCGGCTTAGAAACATGCTGAACTGAGAATTCCTTTTAACTAAGGGCGCACTGCCTTTGCTTTTCCTGCTTTTGCCTTATTTGTTTTAACTTGAATATTTCAACTTGTGAGAATTTTTCCCAAGTACCAAACTTCGTCCAAGGATTTGCTTTTGACAAGCTAGTGCTCTCCCCCCCCCCTCAAGAAATCTGAAGATGTTTTCTTCCAAATTCTGGAATGACTCCTTATTTCCTCGGCGCAGCCGAGTATCAAGCCTTGATAAAAA